TCCCTTATTGTCGAAGCAAGGGTCAAATGGCTGCCACGGGTGCGTCAGTTTTAGGGTGGTGTTTACTGTGTCAAGGGTCACAACAGTCCACATGGCCAATAAGAAAGCCACTCCATTCCAATTGATCGCAAATAGCAGGCAAATCATTCAATGCATGCCGCTGCATGCCATGAATTGATGCTTCATTGTTTACGGCATTTATCGGCATTTTTAATAGCATACTCAAAACATGGAAAGACTTGATTCCATACCTATACACAATACTAGATTCAGTATATATATACTTGTCTGATTCTTTTCGATCACACATGCAAAGTCAGCTCACTCATCTCTACTACACCCCATGCAAGGACTTCTTTGTAGACTCTTAACCCTCCAAACAAGAATGAACAAAAGTAGGGGCCCAGGAAATGGCAGTGTCTCGCAGAGAATGTTCCCCACAGACACCCCGCAAAGAGGATGAACGTTCGTAAGACACCACGTTCGGACCCATGTCTCATGATGTCTCATGAGGCCATGTAGTGAACCTGCCGCGGCAGGCAGGTCCCAATTCCGTCGGTTTTTCACGTGAACCAAAACAAAAGCGCCGCGAACACATAGTGGCAAGCGGAGACTGCTGTTTTACCATTACCAGGTTTGACTTTTGAAGCTATCCTTGATAGTTATATAATTAGATAAACTATGAAGCCCTATCTGAAGGGTATTGAGAAAGCGTTTCAATCTATTGGGGGAACTATTGTTTCCCAGAACGGCCCAGATCGCTGCGCCTGCGGTCCTGTGCTGGAAATATGGCTGGAAGTGGTGCGTCTACTCGGCCGGGGCGAATCACCAAAATGGCTGCGGAAGACGTAAGAATCCAGTGGAACGAATAACTTCTACATGTAAAAAAATGATGTTGTTTGATCATGCCCACTTCAAACTAACAGAGTTTCTGAGGGTCCCTGTCCACCGACAGCTTGCGAAACTCTCGCCGCACGGCGGCCATCCGCGGCCATGCGTTGCTTGCGGGGAGGGACTTCATGCGGCTTCATGAATCTCATCAGTAGCGCTCTGGCACAACATTACCAGGTATCAGGATCATCAGAGTGATGGATTGATAGAACCCTTGAGTGTGAGGCGTGAGGTGGGAACTTACACAATCTTCCGAGCTGGGGGATGGGGTGGGCATAGTATAACTGTGAGATGTGAAAGGAGAAAGTGCACAAGCGAGAAACATCTCAAGTGCACTGCCCAGCCGCACACTTTGCCAACTTGCTCCTCTGATGCAATAGCCCTGTACCCACGATGGTGTTGTATGTGGTCCAAAGTTCTTTGACTGTGATTGGCTGACCAGGCAAGGCCTGCCTGACAGCGAAATGGCACTATCTTCGCACACCCCTGGAGTTTCATGCTGCTTGGAAGTGCAACATAGCACCATGTCGGATGGAGAACAGCTTCATGATAGAACCGGTCCTGTGACTGTGTAGTGGCCGTGGGATGCTGTTGACCTTCATTGTCAGACCCAAGTCTTCAAAGAATGCCGGCTTCATGTATATGCATACCTCTGCATAGACCAAGCGTTCGTGCCACTGTAAATACCAGGAAAGCATTACCATGGACTGTCGATGTTCAGGTGAACAGGATCGGGTCCATCAACCGGTACACGATGCGTGTAGTCCTGGATGCGTGTGTGCGTGTGTGTGTGTGTGTGCTCCGGCCAGTGAATCTTGCGTTGAACTTGTGGCGCACAGCCACACAGTGCGTTCCTTGTGGCACTCAGCATGTTGATCCATGTTGATCCTATTCCCCAAGTTCCCTTTGAGGGCCCGCGGTTTCGTCAGACTTCCTGGTTTCGATGCAACATGATGCAACATGATGCAACAAATGAAAAAACACCCACTTGGAATCTCTTCGATCAACTTGATCCAGCTTCTTCTCACATGTTCAGGTGCTGAGCATGAGCAGGGGGCTTCCAAAGATCACCTTGGCTTGGCCTCTCCACTGTACATGGTCTGTACATCGCCAAGCCTCAGGCCTCTGGTGCCAATCTGAGCACTTCTTGCAACTCAAGAAGTCACAGAAAGCTACCGAAACGTCACCGAAGGTCCATTGTGGCGGGTGTGATCCACTCAGCACTGCTTAGCCTGGGGCAAGCCAACTGCCAACACCAGCGTGTGGAGCATTGATCTGAAAACACTCCGATGCACAGAAGGGTATTTGGGTCAGTATTTGGGTCAGCTCAAAGTACTTCTTGGGAAGGCTACTTGCGTCAAAAAATGTCAAAAGAAAACAACATGTTTTTGTGCATTAGTGCTAGGAACGTCAGCATCTGCCGCACCGGACTGTACCACAGAGTGTGCAGCTGGCAGCGTTCAAAGCCTGTCAAGACTGCACACGTTCAATGATCTGATCGGGAAGATCCCTTTCAAGAGCCGATCCGTCGTGTCGCTATCCGAACCATACCAATGCCTCCACAAACAGGGAACTCAGTATATACGTAGGACCCAACTGTTCTTTCAGAATCTCAAATATTGTTTCAGCCTTTAAGCATGTCATTCAAACCATGTTAACAAGGCTCCCGAGTGTCCAAATTATATTTCCTGGATTGATCGCCGAAAAGGTTCACGCATGGCGCCAGGATTTCATGCGGCTCAAGAAAAGCTACACCTCAGTCATCAAGGCAAAGCATTCCGCACCCGCCGGCAAAGGAAGGAGCGACTCCAGCTTGTGTGCGACTACACCACGCCAGGTCGTTCATGGGCCAAGCATGTTCATGACATGAGATCATGAGATACATGAAGTCATGTGTGGATGTGGAAGGAGACCGGTGCACAGACAATACTTTGAGACACCTCTTCCGAAGAGTGACAGTGATTCTTTAGTGCGAGTCACTAATCACTAAAGAAAATCAAACAAACAAAACTGGAGATCGAAACTCAACATAATGGTTAACCTGCTGAACGAACACACTCGTCGGACTTCCAGCAATTTTATGCAATTTTCATTGGGGAGAAGGAAGCGTGGCGATGACGAGGAACTGCCACTCTCGTGGCCACTCATTCCAAGAATTTCTCTAATACTTCCATGATCACCAGGTTGCCGCAAGTCTCCCAAAAGAAGCTCCCGAAAAGAGTGCAACTTTGCTAGTACAGGGGTCATGAAGAACGTCTCTGCCAGGTCAGCAGACTTGGTTTCGTTGCCTTAAAATTCCCAAAAAGGCAGGCGACTTTTGGAACACACGATTAGATTCAATTTGGAACACAGGCTCTGGCCAACCTCAAAATTTTGCACTTGGGTGGCACACAAAAGGTCTGCCACGTTTTAATGGGCGACCCTTAAGACCCTTCTCACCCAGTTCTGCGCGCATGGATACGCTGCGACTGGGCCGGATACGTATGCCAGTGTTGAGAGCCATCATACCTACCAGGAACATCCTTTCGGGGTGCAAACAGGAACATACTATATTATAGTCACAGTATGTCACAGTAGTGTAGGATAGTCACAGAACACTGCGACACCCCATTTCGGTCCTGGTGTGTTCCTTGCTTCTTTGCTCCTCCTACCACCCACGGATTTGAACACAGGATTGCCGCGAGATCCTTGACGATCCAGCAACGATCCCATGGGTTGGAGCAAAGAAAAGAACATTTGGCTCATTGATACCAGTTTGAGGCTTGGGGACTGACAACTTGTGACTTAGTTGTGGTATGTCTTCTTGGGGCACATGCTGACCCACCATGCTCCAACAATAATTTGGTACACACTTCAACAAATAAATGAGCCAGCCAGCCTTCCAAAAGCCGGTGAACACAACATCATACCACATCAATCTACAGTCACACAAGTGGCGCGTTTTTGAATGGGCTGTGACACACACACACACATATCGCCGCTACCTCCAGGCGTTGCAAAGGAGCTACAAATCTACAAATCCCTCTCTCTGCAAATTGGAATGCTGGGAATTGGGTCACGCCGGACCATGGCTGATGGCGGTGACGAGTCCGTGGGCCATGGCTGATTGGCGTCTTCGGTGAAGAGTCTGCCGCAAACATGTCATCAGCACATGGACACTGCATGGAACTGGCAATGCTGATGCATGGGAAAAGGACATTGCCAGCACCTGAAAATGGGCTAACATCGACTGACGTGGATCAATGCTGTTGTCGCCCTTCACAGCCAACATTGCATGACCGTATTTGACCGGTAGCAGTAGCTTGCTAGCTTGCTAGCTTGTCTTGTCAGTGCATCAACCCACGCCTAGCCACCCCAGCATGAAGTCTTTTACAAATCGAAGACTTTCAGCCGGATATGAATTAACAAACCCTCCATCACGTGAAGCTAGTCGGCAGCGTCCGACAACCAATGACGTTGGGTCAATGAATGGCTGATGTTGTTTTCCTTGTCAAAGTCAGGAAGTTCTTGGACAGCCCTCAACATGTTTGGCCAATGCAAACACCATGTGAACATCGTCGCAGTGTGTCGTTGATGAAACGGCAGTGTGGACCTTGAACATACACTTCTATACATCTCAGCCGGATCCCCGAAAGGAAAAACAACTTATCAAACCAACTAACTATAAGCCAACACTACAGTAAGTGCAGAAGTATTGGCTGGTGCTCCAAACAAGTTCTAGATTCTACGCAACATCCACTTGAGGACTGTGCTTCAAATAAGAAAACACAGTGGCTAGCGATGTATTTAACCGTTTGTCTGGGGAAAACTTGGTCTTACACCTGCAGTAGATGTGACAACTGAGAATGTAAAAATAACTCCAAATCCAGATGTGCACAACGGTTCCCTCAAGTATATGAAGTCCTCCAAATAGGCTGATCAGCACCCATATTATTGATTGCTCTCCTCAGTTTCTTGTCTTGTGGACACGAGTTGTACCTACCGGGACCTACCGAAAGTTATTGCTTGACATGAAGACGGTAGCCACAATGGAAAGCAGGTCGCAACAGAAAATGCAGGTCCTACACATGTTCGATGTTGCATCAGCATTCCTTCATCTGACAGAATCTGAGCCTCTCAAATGAAAACCTCAACGGCTTTGGTTGTCCGGCCAGTGGAGGATGTCGAATCGACTCCTGATGACTTGCTCCTCACAAGTCATGACCCAAGGAAAGGCCCGCATCTTCCATTTGCCTTCCAGAGTTCGCGCAATGCGACGATGTGCAGCAAACCCCAACTCAGACTTCATCTTTATTTAGATGCTGAACAGCTGGATCAGCAGAACTGAGTGGATGATAGTGGGTAATCCAGGAGCAAGGCATAGCAAAACTTTCACCTTGAACAGGTCTTAAGGTAGATTCCTTATGACCTCCAAAAACGCGTTAGGCAAGGCAAAGCTCCTCTGCATGACCTATCGTGACTTTTGACCAGCCAAACGCCCTCTCACCTTCTGCTCATAAACTACAAACACAAGTTAGAACTCTCCATCTTCATTGCCTAATATTGCCTCTTTAAATCCTATTTCCATATGCAAGCCATTGGCCTCCGGATGATGGTCTTGATGTACGACAGCCTCCGGCTCAACCTGAACGGGACGTCACGCTGACCGTCGTGGAGTGAAGGGTCGACGGTTGGACACTGTAACCGGTCGGTTACGACGTAAAACGGTTGGAAACGGTTGGACACTGTGGTTAAACACACTCTGTTTCTAGTTTTTGTTCAAACTGTTGCAATTCTCCTGGTCGACTGGCAGCTGTTGGAATCAAAACGGCCAAAGACCAACCTGGGACCAAACTGTCACTAGGTTTCGGTTCAAACGATTCATACCTGACAACTGCAAGTTAATCATTTCAGCCGTGCACCGAGATTCCTGATCTGGGCCTAGACCACCTCTGTAGGAGACATTGACAGTCATGCATCATCCAATGGCATGTTTGGGAACCGAAAGGCCCACTTGTTAGGGGGTCGCACCTCTTTGAGACAAGCCCCTGATGTTCTGCATTTAGGAAGGCATCATTGATCAGCACCAGTTCCTTCAGGGCCTCTATGGTACCCATCCGCTGCAAGCCTATGCTCATGGTGCTTCATGCGCTCTGGTGCTTCTGTGGAAGGTAGCGAGGCCGCTCCGGTCGGCCAGGGATCGATTATGACACTATTAGTTGTAGACTAGACTTTATACAGAATCTGCAATCAGAAACCAAAGTCCACCCGCTACAGGTTCCGCATCGCCGAGCCCGTCAGCCTGGCACAAAGCTCCACAGCTTCGGTATCGTCACGCCTGTACACCATGGAAGGGCCGAACACTGTGTACGCAAGACGGGTTGCCATGAAGATCCGCAAAGAAAAAAATCAAAGCTTTTGTGAAAGCAGCCAAAGCGACGCGTCGTGCGCCGCACAGTAGCGAGTCGCTCCCTTTTGCGAGCGCTTGAGCCATGTGAGCAAGGTCGTGCTCAGTTCATGAACCCTCATGGATTTGGACACCAACTGGATGCAATCGTGATTCAAAGGTCAATTTCTCACCCGTATTCTTCTTTGGTGTCAAATCCTGAGTGGTCCCTTCCTGCAGGCTTTGTAGCCCCGGGTGTTTCATCCCTTTTGTCAGGGGATCAGCCAGCATCCGATCCGTGCTGGTCCAAAGCAGCCGCGTGGTTGCGGTGCACGGCAAATGATCCGTGAGAAGCGGATCGCCCTGAGCCTCACCAGCTGCCCGCCACATGACTTGGCGAATGCCGCTCAAGTCAATTGCCAGTCTTTTGTCCTGGACGGTCGCCAGGCCACTCTGGTTCACGTGTTGGAAGAGGCTGTGGCAGTCGGTGTAGAGGTCGATGTCCGTGGCGTCCATGGCCTTTGTCTCCCAGGCTTCTCCGCGACCTTCAGGATGCCAGAAGCCGAAGTAGGCGAACCTGAGGTGCTCTGCCTCCTCCATGCCCAGAAGAAGGCTGAGGGTCTCTGCCTGGAGCGTTGACCTGCAGACCCTTTTCAGCACTGTGCTGTGCCATTCGACCAACATCAAATGGCCGATGCGGGTCTCCTTGAAGCTGCGGTCGGCAAGACAAAGCAGCCGTCCGCTCTGGCTCCTGTGGCCAAGCTTTGCGCCACTGCCGCTGGCATCAAAGTCAGCCGCCAAGGAAGCGTCCTGCATCCCGATGATCATCAGGTTCTCGAAGTCGAAGACCTTGGCCGGGTAGAAGAGCCCATGATCCTTCGTCTTCTTGGCCAGCTTGATGATGCTATTGGCATACTTGACATCCTCGTAGTTGGCACTGTGAACTGTCGATTGGAGTCGACAGACGGCGTAGGCCAGATCAGGCCTGCAGACTCGACTGAGCCAGGCCAGGCTTCCGATCACACTTCGGAGCTGCCCACGCACCTTCTCGTTCACAGGCTCCAGGTTGTTGATCCTGTGCTTCTCATCCATGACGATGGGACGAACACGGTCCATCAAGTTGGGACATGTCACCTTGATGCCCTTCTCGGTGCGGTTGATCTCCCTTCCGCAGAAGCGAAAGTTGTCTTGCTGTAGCTTCCCGAACTTGTAGCGCTGGCAGACATTGTTCATCTTGTCCTCGATGAAGGATCCTCCGGTCCAGATGAGGTCGTCCACGTGCGCTACCAGAAGTCCCGCCAACTTGCCGTTCTCCTCGACGAGGGTATAGGCGGCGTGTTCATGGGGAATCGGCTTGAAGCCTTCAGCCTTCAAGGTGCTGTCCAAGTTCTTGAACCATCCCCGTGGTGCATCTCTGGTGCCGTAGATGGTGGAGCTAACCACAAAGAACTTCTCCTCCTCGCTCTGGTCCACCTGTGGAATGCCTCCCTTGGGCAATGAGAGAATCAGCACCCGATCCAGCTTGCTACCCTGTAGAAAAGCTGCTGAGATGTCTCCCGAGTGCAAAGTGGTTCCTCGGGATGTAGCCAGGCATAAAACCATGCTCAGCATAGTCAGGGAGCCGGTAGGACTGTCTGTCCTCATCCTGCTGGGATCTTCCAAATCTCCTCGCACCACAAGACGGCTCTTGTACTGCGGTTTCTCCTCGGGCTCGGCCTTGTTGACATCCACCCATCTGGTGGGGATCACCTCCAAGGTTGGGTCCTCCTCCATCATGTTGTGGAGCTCGGTCTTGGTGATGAGGTGTCCATCGCTGTAGTGTTCCCAATTCGACCATTCTTTGGTCCGAGTGCCCTGTAGTGCCTTTTGCACTTCTGGAGTTTCCCGCTCATAGTGGAGCTCTCTTCCAGCTCCTGCCTTCTGTGGCTTCTTCTTGAACTTGCGCTTGGCGTCAACTCGCCGGGCTAGAAAACTGCTGGAGGTAGGTGGCCTCCTGGAGAAATGTCCATCTAGCTGATCCAGGCTGCGCCTCATGGCTTGTGTCAAAGCCGTGGCCTCCTCAGTGTTGGGCGCCTCGCTGGATGCGATGGGTTGAGAGGTGCTTGGTGCCGGAGTGACCTCTGGTTCCGGTTGTCCACCTGTCACCAATGTCGATCCTGTTGTCAGCCGTAGGAAGTCCTCCTCGACATTGATGTCATCATCAGCCACCAGTTGTGGTATGCCAGGTCCAGAAGGTGGTGCCTCTTCAGCTGGCTCAGCTTCTGGAAGATGTAGTCCTGGTGGTGGTTGTAGCATACTTGAACTTGATGCGCCAGAAATGCTGAAGTCTGGTGCATTCATAGCTGGAGTCAACCCCGGTGGAACTTCAGAAGAAGTGGGTTGGCTCATAGAGTCATCCTGGTCCTGCTGGATGTCCACATATGGAACTTGATCTTGTCGAAGACGATGTGCAGGAGGTAGATCTGACTGGAAGGGAAGATCTCGTGCAGCATCGATTTCTCGCATCCTCTTCCTTCTCCGGCTTGGTCGGAGCTCCAGTACTTGCTTCTTGATCACCTCTTCACTGGAAGCAGGACGGCATGCTGTCTCGGCAACGAGAACTGCCACTCCGTTGTGGGTGAGCCATAGTGAGCTGCGTCCTTCGTGGGCTAGGACTCGAGCTGGGCCATACCAGCGTTCTTTCTTCTTGAAGGAAACCAGGCTGCCCACAGTGAAAGGTCCTCGAAGTGGAACTGCCTTTCTCAGCATGCTCTTGCGGATCTTCTGACATGAGTCGGCCTTGATGTAGGCCTCCTTGGCAAACTGCCTGATAAGGCTTTGCTTTTGGTACCGATCAAAAGGTCCAAGCTCTGGGTCATCTTGGTCGACGATGCTTTGATGCACACCAATGTTGTCGTCGAAGTTCTCCAGACTGGTGCGATCTTCGGGTTGAAAACCCATGACCCATTGTTGTGGCGTGAAGCCGGCGGCATTGAGCAATCCATTCTTCACGGATGCGCTCTCCGAGCAGGCAATGGAGATGTCCTCTTCTCCTACCAGTTGCCGCTCATGGATGATCCTCTTGAGCATCTGTTTGATGATGCCACCGTGCCGTTCACCAATTCCAAGTTGATGTGGAGCTCGTGCTGCAGTGAACCTTATGGTGGTGCCAAGGGTTGTGAGCAGATGAGCAACCTTTCCACGGTTGTGCACCCCCTGATCCACAATGAAGTAGTCCGGAGCGCCAGCTCAGGCTATCCAAGAGCTGTTGATGAAGTCAGCACAGATCTTGCTGCTGGGAACTCCTCCGCCAGCAACTCTTCCAGCGACATGGAATTTGGTGGCGACATCCACCAAGCTCAAAATGCTGTGCCTCTGGTTCTGGGCGTCGTGGATCTCAAAGACGTCAGCTGCAACCTCATAGTTGAAGCGTTGCATGAAGGATGCCCGTGGCGGCTTTGTTACTGCCGGCTCTTGCTCCTTTGCCGTTTCCTGGCAAACTTGACACTTGAAGTGTTTCACAGCACTGATCACGTCTTGATCGGCCACTGATGCCTTCAGCATCCTTGTCATAGAGGCGTGGCTGGAGTGTCCAGTCATGTTGTGAAGCCGACGAAGTGCAGTGCGCTTCTCCTTGGAAAGCTTCAGCCACTCTTGTCGTCGATGTTGTTCTTGTTGGTTTGCCATCTCTTCAGCTGGGTCTTCTTCCAGCTGTTCTTCCATTGTCTCTTCTCTGGCCAATTCTTGTTCATCTATTCGGCGCTTCTTCAGCAGTGGAGCCATGTCGTCAGCGGTGGAAACGTCATCCAGCGTTCCGAAGTCCTCATGCTCCTCGACTTCCATCTCCGCTGCGAAAGCCATTGAAACACTGCTGTTGATCATTTCGTCATAAGCGCCAGACAGAATCGCCTCGCATAGAGCGGTTGGCCATTGTTCTGCAGCTTTGCTGTATCCATGTCCTTCAATGGGTGTGTGCTCATGATCTCCTCCACATGTCCGTTGCAAGCGGATCTTCATCCAGAAAGAAGAGAGGAGCATACCAGTGCTTTTGCGATGTCGCAACCCAGTTCTGCCGCAGAAGAGGTTATACTGGCACTGGTCTGGCTTGAGCACTTCAACAAACTCCTCGGTGACGTTGTTGAAGGGGTTCCGTGCAAGGAACTTGTCCACGCACCTGAGGTCCCAAAGAAGACTTCCCCAAGGGTTCTCGATGAGAATCTCTCGGCCCTTTTCCAAGCGGCTTGAGCAAATGCCCATGATCCAGCTCACCACTGGATACCAAAGCTTGCGGTCGTGCAAGATCTTTTCGGCCGTTTCACCGCCCTTGGAGAGGTTGATGTTCTGCATTTGGCTCCAAGGTCCACACTTGGGCGCCAATGTCAAGAGGAAAGGGTCCTCCTCGTCGATCTGCTGCGAGATCCTCACCCGGTTGTCGTGCTTGAGGACGTCATGGTCCGGGTTGTGAAGGATGTCGATAGGCTCTCCCACGGTCAGCCCCCAGGCTAGAGCCATCAGCGTCAGAGTCGCTGCGCCTGCGAAGATCTCCTTCAGGAAGGTCTTGCATCCTCGTGGTAGTGGAGCATGCTTGCGATGTCCAGGTGCAGGCGTCTTGAGACTGGTCCACATGGCCATATCTTCCTTCTCAATCACCTCCACGGCCTTTTCGACCATCTTGCGTTGGTTCTTGGTCATCACCTTAACGCTGCACTCTGTGAGGTCGAGGTTGTTGAGCGTGTCCTCCTCCTCGATGTAGTGCTTTGGCGAAGATGCCGTAGATGTCGGTGAAGTGGAAGTCCACGATGAAGGTGAAGTGGTGCCGTCATCATCTTCGTTCTCGGAGGTGTGCAGCACCATGTTCTTCTCGTGAGCTTCTCCTGGAAGAAGTCGAAGTCCAGGAAGTCCACCACGGTTGATCACCTCCATGGGGCCTCACAGAGTCTTGCTGTGGATCGAGACACAATCCTCATGGTCTCCCAAGTCGATGTTGAGGCCAAGGGTTCGTTGAGCTCTTGTGGACAGAAGAAGTGGAGCATCACTTGACTTGAGCTCTGTGGAAACGATGGTTCCCTTGCCTTCACTTCCGTCAGCCAGCTTGAAGGTGACGGGAATGCTGCGACGTCCTGCCACTCGGATGGTGCCTCCAGCGCCATTGTAGGTGCCCTGACTCTCTTCCAAAGGGATGGCCAGGTTCATAGCCGTCATGTAGCGCTCCATCCATTTCTCACCATGGCAGGTGTTGTTGCAGCCGGTGTCGATCACCGCAATCATGTCATCCTCATGGATCCAAGGAGTTTCATCCGTGACCATGTTGACCTCAGCGATCGGCTGGTTGTTCTTCAGCACGGTATAAGCAGCCAGCTCCAAGAGGTTCGGGTCCTTGAGGATGCCCTTGTTCATGCGTTCCACAAGGAAGTTGCAGTAGCGACGATCTCTCTCATAGATCTCACTCATGAGCATTCCGGCTTTTGCCCCGCTCTGAACCAAGCGACGGTCCCAGTGGTGAAGATCTTCAAGCTTCACTTCTCGGGGTCCAGCATCCTTGCTTCTTGCCGGGAATGTCACCTGAGAGAGTCCTTCTCCAGATCGATCAGGTCCACGAAGTCCACCTGAAGGTGCCGGTCCTCCCGGTGATGGTGTGGCTGTACCTGATGAAGTCCTGTTGGCAGACTCAGATCTGGAGCGTGAGGCATTGGCTGGTGGAGTCATTGGAGACGATCTGGAAGCCTCTGTTACCGGACTTTGTGAATCAACTCCAAAGACTAGCTCTCGGCAGCGGCGGAAGATGATGTCCAGGTGGTTTGAAGGGACATCTTGTCCAACATCTCGCTGAATGCTGAGAGCGTTCCTCATCATGTCCACCACAGTCTCTGCGCTGCTCCTCTGCGGTGCTGGGCCATATGGTGGTCGTCCAGGTGGTGCCACATCTGAAGGGGAAGATGACTGGGCCGTTGAACCCACTCGTCCAGATGTGCCGGGCTGTTTGAAGCCACTTTCTTTCTTGCCACAGTCCTTGCAGCGCCATTGCCACGTGGTGGCTGAAGTGCCCCGGTAGTCCTTGTTGTCATGAGGACATTCATCGATGTCTTTCGTCTCCATGTGGGCATAGCGGTCCTTCTTGACCTTGCTGAGCACCATGTTGCAATCCAGACACTTGACCTGGGTCTGGTAGGCATTAGATCCGGATGTGGTGGTCCGTTCATGAAGACATTCTCCCGGAGTCGTAGGTGCATACTCCGAAGCAGTAGAGAGCACAGTGGGCGAACTTTGGGCTCCAGGTCCTGGTGTTGAAGACCTGTTTTGCAGCATGGCTGGAGGTGCCTTGTAGTTTGGCGGACGGCCAAAAACATTGAAGCGTTCACGACGCGGTGGAGGGCTCCATTGCTCATCCAGTGCGAGATCTCGAAGGTCTTGTTCGGTGGGCTGATGGATGCTCACCAATTCCAGGGACTCAGAGTGAGCCATAGAGACTTGATCCCATTCTGCATCTTCGGGCACTGGAAGCATGTGCAGCTGAGAAGCTTCATGAGGTCCAGGAAGATGTCCATGACCTGCTCCCTCCAAAGCCAACTGTTGACCTTGTGCATTCATCGTCTGAAGCTGTTGTCGGGCTGCAGCTTCTTGAAGTGCTGCCTCAAGCATCTCATCCGCAGAAGGTTCGGATGATGGCGACATCACAACTCCTTGTTGTAGATCAGCAGGTGGTGGCACGTTGCGGTAGGCCATGAGGGCCATGTAGGGCAGCTCACCCTTCTCAAGGTCGTGGTTCTGGTCATACTCATTCACAGTGAAGTAGACCGTGCGAGGTTTCGAGCTTGAACTGCTGCCACCTTTCTTGCCACCTTTGAAGCCGGTGCCAGTCGCCGTTGAGGTAGTCGACGATGTAGATCCTTTTCCGCCACCCTTGCGGTTCCTGGGACATGAGAAGTCGGTCGACCAGTGACCTGTCTGGCCACACTTCCGGCACGTGGTGCGCTTCTTGAGCGCTTCGATTCTGGCCTTCTTCTCCTCAGAGGTCATCTTGCCCTTGCCGCGAAAACCTTTGCCTCCTCGGAAGGAATCAGGAGTGAAGCCGGTGTGACCCTTCTGCTGTGCCCTCTTGTGGGTGCAGAAGGCTTCGCTCTGGGCCTGCAGCATTTCCGCTGCATACTCAAGGGCTTCTTGGTTCTCGCAGTCCAGGCCATTGTCCTGCATGTGATGTAGGCCTCGAAGACCGGGTCCTCTTCGTCAAACTCGAAGGTCTCCTCCGGATCATAGGCCTCCTCACCATAGTACACCGAGTTGAGGTCTTCTTCAAATCCTCCAAGAGATTGAGAGGCGTTGTCATAGCCAGCCCAATCTTCTGCAGAGCCTCCATCAACATGGTAGCCCTGCCAGGGCTTGTGCCGTTGTGGGAAGCGTCCACCTTTTCCTCGTGCTCGGTGGTCTTGGAATCCATGGTGTCCTCGATGGAGTTCCTGCTCATGGATGGTTCCATGCTGGGCGATGAGCTCGTCCATGACTCTGGCGACCGTGACATCGCCTTGCAAAGCTGTCCTGATCATCAACTGATGATCTTGGCTGATCCGGGCGCTAGCCAGGATCTGCTCCGCCAGGATGGGGTCAGGCAGCTGCAGCTTGTCATCGAGGTCGATGAGCATGGAGTACCAGGTCCTCCGACGAAGGAGGAAGCTCGTCATCGTCTCGCCTGCTTGGCGAGCCAGCATCCCAGTGGTCTGGGCTCCTGCATTGTACAGCTCTCTTGCATCTTGTTGTCGTCGAGGGCGGAAGGCCTTGTAGAGCGTGTCCACCAGCAGCTTATGGCCATCTGGCTTGGCCAATTTTGCAGGATCAAGCTCCCTTGCCACCTGAAGAGCTTGACCACGTAGTCCATCAATCAGCAACAAGCCAAGAGGGCCTTTCTTCTTGGCTTCAGCCTCGTCGAGGTGCTGGAACCGGGTGTGAAGCAGCTTCACCCGGAAGCTGTACTCAGCCAATTTGGATGGCTCTCCATCGTACCTAGGCACCATGCCTTTTCCTTCCGTGGACATGAGGTCTTGGTCATCTTGTTCATGTCCAGGGCGCCAACGAAGGGCCTCCAGCGCAGCCATCACGCCGGAGCAAAGGGACAGGGGTGGTCACCGCGAACAGGAGCGTCCCTTGGCTCCAGCGGCCCTATCGGAGAACAAAGCTCCGCTGCCAATGTGAAAGCAGCCAAAGCGACGCGTCGTGCGCCGCACAGTAGCGAGTCGCTCCCTTTTGCGAGCGCTTGAGCCATGTGAGCAAGGTCGTGCTCAGTTCATGAACCCTCATGGATTTGGACACCAACTGGATGCAATCGTGATTCAAAGGTCAATTTCTCACTTTTGCGATGATCCTGATTCTCAAGTTGTCGAGTATAGGTCACCCGGCTTGAAGGAGTTCCGGTCAAGCGGGAAATTAAGCGGTAGTGTATGGTAGTGTATCGATGGGCGCTTTTTTGGTTCCTAAGGTCGCGTGGTGGGAAAAAAAAAAGCACACCCACAAGAGGCTCTGGGAGTCAAATCTTGTCAGATCTATATACATGCCTTCAATGAAGTCATTCCACCTTCCTCAATGCCATGTCAATGACCGCTTTAAGCAAGAAGCATGTCTTGACAGGGCCCGCACCATCCCGCTGGAGGGCCCTTGGAGTTTGGCCTCAATGTCTCACACCCTGTTTCACCCTCCGGCGCAAGCGTACACTGCTTTCAGGCAGGCCAGGATAGCTTCCCGCTTCAACGAGGCGAGTCCTCCACAGAGACGAGCGTGAGAGAGACCTACCTCTTAGATTCTCTTAGTCTGTTTACTGTGCGGGTCTCCCTCTACTCTATTCTCAATCACACTCATACTTTGGGGGTGGGATGAGGAGCCGTTGGCTTGCAGTGCACACCATACACACCACCTTGTGGCTTACCTCCTAGCCCTCCAATGATACCTGCATCGGGGTTCACCCACATACACTACAGGTGGAGGAGGCTGTGTGTCGAGTGCTGTTTCTTTTTCCCTTGAGGCAACTCCTAATCACTTATAACTTATTATACTATATATAGATTTATGTATTTCATTCACACCTTCCAAGCGGATCGGCGGCAGGAATGTCGTGAGCTGCTGAATGACTCGATGGTGTTGGCTGTTCCGAAATCATGCTCCATCTCGATGTTCGGCCAAGCAGTGCTTGTAGGCTGAATGTTGTAATCACCGTCGTTTTGAGTCAAGATGGGTTTCGGATGAGTCACTTGGTGATTTTATCAGCAGAAATCGTCCGCTGGATGGAGAAGGAAGGCGGAGTTTCGTCCGCCTTGCCATGAAAGGGCAAAGGTCCGTCTGGAAGAACGTCGTGAAGTGGATGGGTCTGGGTCGCTTCCGTCTGGTCATTGTTTCTCGTCTTCGAACGATTCATCTCCTGGAATGTGACTTTTTGGATTGGTTGACAAACAACATCTGGATCCAAAGGGGATGAAAGGGGTCCTTCCACTGCCAAAACTTACTTACTACCTTACCTCCATTATTTATGGTTCCACCACTCGGTTCAGAATACCTCACACACACACACTGATTCATCCAGGTGGCAACACAACTACATTATTGCTGTGAACAAAGCACTGCACACGAAGCAGACGCACTCACCCGTAAGCACAGAAGCTCGCAGCATCCAAATGCGTCCAAACCCATGCATAGGTATATAATATAGCAATACACCTAATGCCATGAGTCGCAAGCTCATTTCTGGGAGAGTTGATCTTGTCGTGGCTCATCAAGAAAATGCAAGTAACAGGTGGGTGAGTAGTCAAGCTGACGGCAGTCTCTCTACACAGAATGCACGATGCGTCGTCTGATTTTCTCCGAGTCCTCCGGATCTAATTAGCTGATGATGACCATCACTCAGGCTCCCGACTCTGACGGCTTTCTGCGGAGAGTCTGCTCCCTCGACAGGGCGATCACGAGGTTTCACATCAATCAGTCTGGTTGCTCCAAACATCACATGTGGCAGGCCCCATACCAACCCAGCTCACAGCCAGCGAAAGTGAGAAATTCCTGTACCAGCTGGGTGCAAGATGGGGCCGGCGAAGCGTGTGTTCTTGAATATATCACTAAAAGCCATATAGCAGTACCAAATCAATTTTGTGGATGAAAGTTGAATAGATGTTCAACCAGACCAGCTCAAACATGTGGTCTCCAATTTGTGCTTTGAGAACAACGCCTCACTCTCTCTCTCTTTCTTTCCCCTGAAGTTACGGCCCCACACACCAAATAAACAAATCGAGAGGTCCTGAGATCGATGAAACAGTGGCTGTTGGTGAGAGCCCTTGATGGTGTTTGTTTGGTCTCCAAACGAGCCGAGATCTCGTCTTGGGTCCACTCCCCCATCTCCCGAGCCTCGTGCCGGTGTGGACCTTGCCTGGAGGCCAAACGATCGAAACGCAGACCTGCCCTGCCCTGCTCCAAGTCGAAGCTCCAAGTCGACCGCAACTCGGCCGGGGGGGGACCCGATCCGACATGACATCCCTTGACATGACATGACGTCCAGCCACTCGTGAGTGCGCTGCACCACTTTGAATCACGAACTTTGCCCGAACATGCCTGAATGTATTCAGCACAGTACACTGAGTACTTGTCCAATCAAAGAATTAGGCCACCCTGCTCTCTTCCCGTTGGACTATGTACGAGCAGGTCCCCAATTGATAGAAACTGAACAAATGCAATGTGCATCATTCGCTCTTCAATCGACTTGGGACTTGGGGTCACGATAGAAACAATCTCAAAATGTCAAGCTGTAGATCATGGAAGGGGTTCTCCAGGCCAAGTCAGCTAAGCTGCAATCTAGGGGTATGAGACCTTCAAAACCTGAGGACACTTTTCTGGTTGTCGGGGAGTGTAAAAATACAAAGTGACCTATATTACATGATATATCACATTATACTATTATGTAATGATGTATATGAATATATAATGTCATATAATTTATAGTAATACAAATAATACCATATTATACAGCACATGAAAGATATTGAAAGATGCATCCATCATGCATCGTGTCCTGTTTCAGGACATAGACCTTGCGACTAACACAAATCTTGTGGATTCAGGTTCGAGTCCAGCTTGAATCTCTTGATGTCACATTTAACATCTGCACCAGAATTTTGCCTGGACTTAGCCAGAGTATCCCTCTTCCCTACTCATACACTCTCAAATTCTCGAAGCCCAAAGCTCTTCTTCGAATCCCAACAAAACCATACAAAAATTAGAAACAATAAGCTACTAGTAACAAGTGCATCGCTACTAGTAACAAGTGCCTTACTAGTAGTAACAAGAAGCTAGTAGTAACCATGTTCAATCCCATCCATCCCGGTCCATCCCTCCGCTCCTTGCCCGTCGGGGCCGACGCCGAAGGCGCCGGAAAAGGCCACGCCGGGTCTGTGTGATGCAGCGCGTGTGGACGCGCAAACAGGGCAGACCGGGGCATTGAGGCCAAATCAGGATTTGGGTCAAGACAGCAAAGATTGGATGATGTGGCATCTGTCATATACTTGGGAATGGAATTCATATACTGATGTTGCAGGCTTTCTTGCTCATAGTATTCAAGCCAAAACTTGGTTTCATCCCCAAGTGGCCCTGTCACAAGCATTGTATAGTCCGTAGTCATTCTGACAGTGGGCCCTCCATTTTGCACAGTTCCCCATTTATCTGGTCTGCCTAGTCTCTGTCTCAGATTAGGTCAACGCCAGAGTCACCCAAACTAGCCAAGGTCTCGGATCTTCCTTCTCCCGGCCTTGCCCGAGTAAAGCGCTCGTGCCGGCTGTGACAAATGCGCCACCCACGGCCTGCGAGTAACTTGTCACGGGCAGCAGGTCACAAACGTCGATGATTCATGCGACACAATGAAAGTCAAGGATGGCAGGAAGACGATGAAGAAGCTGATTGAGCGGTGTTTGGAGGTTTCAACTCTGTAGTGATCTAGTTCTTTTGGCTCTGTGGCAAGAAGAAACAAGACCTTTGTGGCTGGAAGCTCAAGCGTTGAGGATTCAATATCGACAGCATTTTGTGTATATATATATGATATGTTAATGATAATTATAGTATATGGTGGTGCTTTGGGACATCAGCGTTGGTCTGGCAGCCACGAATGTGAGCTACGCTCATACAGTAGCGCCTGGCTGCTACCTGTGAGGGTCACATAGGGTCACTGTGTCCGATGCACATATCATACCCAAACACTCCATGTATGCCATATATGCCTACATTAACCCCAAAACCACCCCAATGTAGGCATATATATATATATATACATAGAGTGTCTGGGATAGGCAATCAACACTGCAAAACAGTACCAAGGCATACTGCTTACCCACGACATGACTGGCTTTGACGGGTTTTTATTCGCCCGCAGACCCCACCCTGTCACCAAAGCAGGAGAGTCAAAGTGCATATGTTGAAAAAAGGAAGGACTCTTGCGTGCAAAAACTGGGGTGTAGCCTAGCTCAATCAAAAACAAAAGGCATCCCAAGCCCTATGCTAGCCACAAGCAACCTGCCCGCTACTTCAAGGCTTGTGAAGCTTGAGCAGCTTAAAACAAACAAAACACAAGACGGTCGAGAAGCCAGTGAAAGACTGAGTCGCGACTCACTTCTCCATCGGCGACTCACTGGACTGGATGTGAGTCGTGAGTCGGAGCATTCGACTCATTCGTCCCGCAACATGTGTCGCAGAGATCTACCAGACAGGTCCAGAGGAGTCCGGTCCCCAGCAGTCCTGTAAGCCTAAAGGCGCCACCCACAGCAACGGAACCAGCATGCACCTCAGCGGAACAGAAATGCGTGCACCCGGCGCAGGTGATCAGAGAGCATGGGAAAAGAATCTTTCTTGGCAGGTTTTGTCTGAGGGCCATTTGAGCTTCCATGATCTTAACCGCTCAGAGCTCTGCTCGGTTCACCTTAGCCAACAGAAATATATATATATGGGCGGGCGCTGATTAGGGGACCCCCTAGGGGAGTGTTCCAAGACCTATTGAACTTAAAGTTGTTAGTGCTAATGTTAGCGCCCCCATATACATATATATATATGCGCATGTGTAGTGACTCGGCAAGGAGTTAAAGAAGGAAGTGAGGTAAACCATAGTTGCCATTCATCAATTGAAATTGATTTGAAGAATATAACACAATTACAAAATGGATACAGGTATATCAAAGAGCTTCTTTTACAACACCATGTTTTCAGTTTATAAAGCCTACGTTAAAATAAAGCATGCTTGTATTATAGCACATAGTGTTAAAACTGCTGCTTTCGCCAACAAGGCTGAACATGAAAAGAACCCAAGGAAATCTGCCGACCCCGTTCTAGGACCAAGAACGTGAGCGTAAGCGGAACGGGGCCAGCATGCTCCTTCGGTATATGTATAGTCCTGGGCTAGTTTCCAAGTTCTTTTTTGTTTTCTGGCTTTAGGATTGAGCATAGTTTCCAGATCTGCGTTTTCTTTGCTTTCTGTTTTTCTGGGTTTAGGATTGAGCATAGTGTTTTTTCTCATTTTTTTGTGTTAATGGTATCCCCAGGGGCCCCCTAATCAGCGAGCACCCATATATATAATCATATATCCGCCGACCCCGGCCGACGCAAGGGGGAGCGCGCCAGGGAATAATGATAGATCCGCCAGAACTCAATCGTTTGGAGCAGAACTCAATGGGTTAAAGCCGTGGCGAAGGGGTGGTTTCAGATGCTTTTGGGAGGCTGGAAAGCTTTTGGCAGGCTGTTGGTGGAAGCTTTTTGGGAGGCTGGTTAGTGGTGGAAAATGCTAGCAAATTGTTTTTTTTCTAGGGATCCAGAGCGTCCGTTTGACACCGAACGTTCGAGGAATTGGGGCTCGTTTGGAGCAGAACTCAATGGGTTAAAGCCGTGGCGAAGGGGTGGTTTCAGATGCTTTTTGGGAGGCTGGTTAGTGGTGGAAAATGCTAGCAAATTGTCTTTTTTCTATAGGGATCCAGAGCGTCCGTTTGACACCGAACGTCCGAGGAATTGGGGCTCGTTTGGAGCAGAACTCAATGGGTTAAAGCCGTGGCGAAGGGGTGGTTTCAGATGCTTTTTGG